CTGTTACCAAAAAATCTAAAAAATACAGAAGCACAGTTTACTTTTATAGTAATTTTAAGTTCAAATTTGGACGAAATTACATAATAAAAACCTAGAATAAGTTATTTAGTTATTTTGTTGTGATTGTATAAATTATTCGTGGGTACTTGAAACTTCTAAAGTACACTATTATATATATATGATAGTATCAGGGTTTTTTGTCGATGTATTACGCGTTATAAGTACCTAATGGATATTGTGATATGATTAATTTGGAATTTATAAGTATATAATATGTCTTTTATGCTTCTTATACTGTCTAAGCTCAGAATCTTTTTTCTTATACAATGATATTATATCATTGAATTCAAATTTAATACCATCCATTATACAGTGACCCACTTGTAACCTATTGTAAAGTAGAGCACCTTTTTTAATTTGAATATACTGAACATTTTGATAATATTTATTGTATACAATAAAATCTAACGTATTTACGTATACCGTATACAATATACATACTCAAAAATAAACCTAAAACTTTGATTAAAACATACCTAATAGTAATTGGACATTGCACTGGATAATCAACGTTTTTATTAAATTATTAAAAGTAAATATTCTTATGTTATCCGATAGCAACATTTTGAATCTTAAGTAGATGAGAAAGGAGCATATTTGAAATATGGTAGGTCTGATGTAGTTAGTTCTTCTTGTCTAGACATTTTTAGAAGAACCCCACACTTCCCGCCACCACGGATGGAAACCGGCTATTTCCGCCGCCGCCCCGTCGGAAAATTTTGAACTATTAATTACGCCAGTCGAGTCCGTTAATAATAAATAATAAATTTAGGGATGGGCCGATATTAAAACCTATACTCGATATTGGTGGTATCGCCGTATCGGGTTTATCGGTATCGGTTTTTTTTTTTAAACCGATATTTGAACCAATACCAAAAAAAAAACCAAATCTATCAGCATAATACTATACTGATTAAAAATTGTAATAGTTAAATATAAAATGATAATAGTATCGGTGATCTTTTAATATCGGTTCATTGTTTATGCTGAAAATGTTTGTTTTCAAATATATCGGGTATCGGTTTTTTATCGGTTGCATATATCGGATATCGGTAAAAAGAGGTATCGGCCCATCCCTCATAATATATTAGTATATTACGAAAAACCTCAAATATGCACTAAAAGCATGATGAAATTCAGTGGCGTAAATAGGCCATTGGAGGCCCGTGTGCAAAGACTAAAATGGGCCCTCCAAAAAAATAAAAAATAACCAGTGATAAAATATGATTTATCCTTATTAATGATTAGGTTATATTTATTGTTTACCATAGGCGTGCGCACGGGTAGGGCTGATTGGGCTTTAGCCCTACCTGAGCTTTTTTATACGTGGGTGGGTTGGTACCTTATGAAGACATGACTAAAAGTAGGTATATAGCCTTTTTAGATTTTAAACGTTTGTGTTTACCCGAGAGACTAAACAGGGCGATTTATTTAAAATTAAACACTCATTATTTCAAAAAGTGTGATTGATTTTGAAAATATTTTTTTACATAGTTTTGAGTCGCTTACAAAACAACTTTGTTATTAAAAAATTATATTTTAAAATATTTTTTATCCTTCTAATTTTTTTGACAACATAGAGTTTGAATTCCATATGCCAAAGTAGAATATTTTTCTAAGTATTTCGATACATAAAAAATCTAATTTAGTGCGAGTAGTCTATGCGTTATAAGTATTTAAAGTTTAGATGAGCCGAGTTGAGTGGTACGGGTTACCCCGCAAAATGTATGTCCACTACTCAGCTCAACTAAATTTTAATATTTATATCTCTAAAGTTGATTTAAAATGAATAATGTTAATTGGCAATTTTTAATATTATATATTATATATTGAACGTTTTTGAATAAATTGTTTTATTGGATTATATTTGACTAAAATTTAAATCAATAAGGATGAATTTTGTATGTTTAAAATAATGAAAATTGATTGCTTACATTTTCCAGTAACCAACCAAAGGGTCACTTAAAAGTTTGTAGTCAAATGTGAAAATGTCTAATTTTTTCTTGTGTGACCATGACAAGGGGGTGGGTGATCAGATTTAATTTAGCCTTACCTGACCCAGAGGTCTGAGCACGCCTATGTTGTTTACCCATTACTTACTTGTAAGTAACCTAGCAACATTTATATAAACATTTATAAATTAATCACATCTTGTAAATTTTTTTAGGTACCTAGGTATTTTTAAAATGTAGGTATATAAATATATATAAATTTTATAAATGTAGGTACATTTAATCATTTAAATACTATAAAAGTATGATACGTTTATAGAATAACATTAAATAAAAAACACAAAATATATTACTCATGTTGTAATGATCACCACAAAATAAAATCATTTTACATTTATCACTAGAAACACTTTTTAATTAGGTACTTATTAAATAGTAGGTATTAGGTAATATACAAATATTTAATAATGCATAATATTATATAACTAACATAATTTTATTTTATTTTATTTGAAATACTTTTGATCATAAAAAATTTGCGAAGTCGTTTATAATTTTGTTAATTTAAAGTTCTGAGGTTTTTTCTCTTTCAATATTGAGAATTGCAATGTTCGTCAGTCTGTCTTGTGAAATTGAGTTTCTAAGATAATTTTTTATGAGCTTAAGCTTAGAAAAAGAACGTTCAGCAGAAGCGACTGTAACTGGAATAGTCAGAAAAATTAAACACAGCGTAAAAACGTCATGAAAAGACGATGCCAAGTCATGTTCTATTAAATAAACTATTAGGTCTTTAATATCATGCAACACAGATGTTGAGTTTTTAACACAAAGAAAATTTTTTAAACACAAAAGTTGATTTGTAATATCTGAACTTAACTCATTCTTATACTTTATGTGTAAATCGTAGGACGCTTTAATTATAATTTGTTCCTCTATTGTAGTAAGATTTATTGGTTTTAAAAAAGAAAACTCATCACTTATTGTTTTAAGACCTTTAAACCTTTCTTTAAGCTCAAACAATGCCGTGTCCAGTGCGGGATAAAATACTTTAACTTTAAAACTGTCTTCAGTTATAGAAAGTCTTCGGTCAGTGGTCACAATCAACTTCTTCGTGATACCTAACAGCAAATCTTTCACGTTTACGATTGAAGTTGAAAGGTATTTTCCATGAAACACAAAGATTTTTTGCATCTTCTACTATATTTTAGCCATTGAGTTATTAAGCCATTAGTTCCAGATATGAGATACGTTGTAGATAATATTTTTTTCCCAAATCGGGCCTCCAATAATATATTATTATTTATTAGAGTATAAACCATATACCAACATATAGTACCAATATAAGGTCCGTATTTCCTACTATTTTTTTCAGGTATCAAAATAATATACATATTTTTGTGAAATTTTGAATCGAATGACGAATATAGAAATAACCAATGGGCAATAGTGTAGGTATTGTATGTTGGGCTGGGGCCCCCTTTGGTACCGAGGCCCGTGGCGTTTGCCCACCCGGTATTTACGCCACTGTGATGAATATAAAAATATGATCAATCAATAGTAAAAATCGGACCAATATACAAAATTAAATTGGTAAATTTGAATTCTTTAGGTGATGAAACAAATTTATATCTTACTTCGCATTGATTTAGATATTATAAAAAAATATGATAAATGCATAAACATCCGCTCCCTAATTATAAGAATAGGCATACCAATACGGGACACAGGCACCTATTTAAAGGTACCTAATAAAATAATAGGGGCGTTATATAGGTAAGCTTGAAGCTAATATGCAATAAGCAGATACCTTTAGGTGCCGTTACAGTTACATTTGTTTTCTCTGTCTTACAAGTGCGTAACATAGCAAATTTTACGTTCGGCAAAACACGTTTATTTCCCGTTAGTTTAAAAATTTGAGCGAATTGACCTCTTATAAAATGTCGTATAATGGGTCCTCAAACTACATTAATACAGGCTTAAGGTTTCCCTGTACACCCAGAAAATGTTAAAGACTCGATACAAAAGTTGTTAAAAGTTTTACAAATAAATAATCCATTCAGAAACAATCAGTCTAGAATAAATGGTTTAAGTTATTTGTAAATAGACACAAAAATATAGCAAAAATGCATACTGAGGTTATTTCAAAAGTTAGAGCAGCTGTAACAGAGCATTCAATTTTTAGTTTAGACATATTAAATGATAGCCACAGGCCACAGCCCACAGGGTAATTAAGTTTGATGAACCTGGTTTACAATTATGTCCAAAATCAGATAAATTATTGGAACAAAAAAAAAAAAATGGAAAACTTTTATGAAGTAGCAAATAAGTTTTTCCTATGTATATTATATTATTACCTATTATGATTTTATAGTTATTGTTTTATTTATTACAATTTTTTTTTTAAGATGGATTTGATTTAGGTATATTGAAGTTTTAAACACTGTTATTAGGTTATTTAAAAGTATTTATTATATGTAGAAGTTTTAAAGAAGAATCAAACAATATTTCATTTGTATTTAGTACTTAAGTAGTCAAATTTAGGTATAGATAAACTTTGTAGTTTACACCGACAGTGGCTTTATAACGAGCCACTTCACATGACTTATTCAGAGAAAAGCAAGTTGGTTACATCAGGATATAAAACAACTAATCTATCAACATCTATAAATCACTGACAAAATTAATATTTTATAGATACCTATAGAATATAATCAAAATAGGACACAGAACACTTCCTTGATAAACTCTATATTCAATGATACTTTCTTGATCTGTTACATAATTTATTCTAATCGTTAGTTTCCTATTTAGTAGGTATGTAATTTTCAAACCAACTATAACCATAATTATCAATACTAAAACTAGGTAATAATTGTAATAAAATATGAAGTCCAAAAACAAAATTTATTAAGTATAAATTTAAAGTTGAAGGTACCTATGTTAAGTCAAAAATTAATAAATTAAAAAAAAAAAAAAAAAAAAAAAATACTATTGCCAAATGCGAATGACACCGGTGGACTCTCTATTACAAATTGGACATCGATTAGTACGTAGTTGGTCTGCGCAATCTGCGCACAATACTCTGTGTCCACAAGGTACAGATGCATGAGACCTAGCACCATCCCTGCACACAACACAAATTGTTTCTTCATTATGAAGATTCACTTGAAGAGTTTGATCAATTTGGACATAAGGAATATTATCTGGATATTCATCATTTCCGTATTCTTCCTGCCATCTAACTAACTCCAAATCTTCGGGAATAAAAAAATCCCTTTCATCCCCTAATAGAGTATATAAGTTACAGTATCAAAAATATGGAAAATAATTTTTTTCAGGTATCTTACATTCATGCACTTCTTCTGGCTCAGGGTTTTCAGGAAGTACTATGTTTACAGGAAGCTCTGGTTGATGATCTGTTTTAACACAATTAAAAAAAAAAACATTTAATTATGTTCAAAATTTAATAAGTAGGTATACTTAAAAAAAAAAAAAACATTACCTTCTACTCTTACAGCTATTTCATCTTCATTTTCTTCTATTACACCTGTGTTCAAAACATGTATCATTTTTTTTTATAAAAATTGGTTTCAATTTTATTACTAATTACTAATGGGTTACCTTGTTCTACATTTATGTGCCAGTTCATTTCTTCACGGATATAACGTTCTGCACTGTGTGAGCATTGTAGTAAAAATTCTTTTAATGTAATATGCCCAAGATCCAATTGTTGAGTAGATTTTAAAATTCTTCCAGAGTTTAGTAAATATTTAATTTTAACAGCACGAGATATTCTCTGTCCTAGTGCTAGTTGTCTTACAGTCACATGGTACTTGCTGCTCAAATTTTTCAAGTGTTCTATAAGAAATATAAAATTAGCTTTGATGAAAATATACCGGGGTATTTACCAGGGTACATCTATATTTAATAATAATTTACCAAATACACATATGATTTTATAAAATTAGAATATAGTGATAGTTAATTACCTAAAAACGTCCATAAATTAGGATGAAGGATTTGGAATTTTTCCTTCAATTGGGAATGAAAGCATTCAACATTGTTGTTGGTTCTTCTAGGTAAACCATAAACAGAAAAAACTTCAGGTCCTCTGTTCCGTAGCCAATAGCTTAAATTAAAGATAGTTGATTTCATAATATTACATTATTACATATTTAAAAAAAAATATATCCCCAAGGAATTTCACATACTTTGAATAATAGTTAAAAAATGTAGCAAATCTAACATTATTATCTATGGCATGGCGACGTATTAATTGAAAACCTTCGTCAATTTTGTTCACCGGCAATAATGCTAAAGCAGCGCACATTTTTAAACAGATCTTGGCTTGTACGTTATCCTTCACGTATTGTGCTAGACCCAGTCTTTTAACATTTTTTATTAATGCCTAGAAAATAGTAAATTTAAACATGAAAGTATACAATAATAGTTTTACAATCTTCGGTTATTCTCCGATTTAAGCTAACCAGCTGATAACAGATATTATTACGGGCAGAATTCCACCGATTAAGTGTCCATTAAATTTAATTGGAGATGATAATACTGGCCCTGGAGTACTAAACAATACATATTATATTTATTTGTATGAAGGAGGAGCCCTAATCTAGAAGAATGGAAAATACTGAAATACATAATATGTAAATATAAATGTTTACTCTTTTATTCCATTTCAATATATAAATTATAAGTTAAAAAGTAGGTAATCTGCTGTAAATTAAAAGTTGAATCTATATTGTTATTAAGTAGGTGATATAAATGGATGAAGTGTTAAATTTGAATTCAATAATATATCATTGATACAATGAAAAACGTTTCTAAGCAAAGACGGTCTAACTTTTTGGTAACCCATATTACCAAACAATTATTATATTTAATATTACAATTAAAATTATTTAAAAAAAAATATTTGTATTTTTTTCCCCGATTAATTTAAAAAGTGAAATGTTCAATAGTTGAACCTCCCAAAAGTACCAAATAGATTCAATTTGCAAGAAACCTCTTACAAAATATCATAACAGCATTTTCTGCCTGAAACAGCCTTCTGACACAAAAAAAAAAAATACATTGTAAAATCAATTCATTAATTGCTACTCTCAGAATCTAATAGTAATTATACACACATATATTTATATATACAAATAAACATTATTTATCAAGTACCTACCTGGACATAGTGAAACCAGCAACCATGTGCAACAGTTTCAGGGTAAACAGTTAAAAATGCATTTTGCAAAGCTGTCTCAAAATCTGTCATCACACAATTAGGTATTATGGAAGGAAATAAAGCTTTACATTTTGTAAGCAATAAAGTGTATGCTGCTTCCGTCTTGGACTCCATCAATGCGTAGATTATGGGTATTGACTGAAATAATAATTAAATATTTTTATAATTAGGTATTCATATTTATTTCCCCTACATAAAGTTAAAATACAAATCAATTATAACTAAAACTCACATGATTTTGAACAATTATGTGCAGAATAAAAAGTTGTCGAGACTGTGGCGTGGCTGGTGTAACTTTAAAAGTTGCATCAGCATGAACTTCGTTTCCTCCTTGACTTACAACATCACTGATAAGTGATGTACATCCAAATATATTTGTTGTTTTACCATCATTATCTACAGTTCGATCTTGATAAAACGCTTGTTCACAACAAGTGTAACGCTCTGGGTTTTGATCAAGATAATCTGCCAATGCATTAATGCTGATTGGTAAAGCAGGCACAATTTTTTTTTCGAGCATGACGCATTGAAGCTTCTGCTGTTGGCCAACAATAATGTTCTGCAGCTCGAATACATCTAAAATAGTAATTTGTACCTACTTCAGTATAGGTATACTATAGTATATAATATATGATTCCCAAAAATAATATATAAGTATATCCTTGTTAAGACAAATTAGTGATAATCCATCTGGGCCTAAGGAAGTTATAGAATTAAAATTGTTGAGTTCACATTAAAAATATCCAATATAATCCAATATAATTATGGTACAATCAGTTAAGCTTAGAGAACTTCCTTGAACCTTCAGACCAACTTAATTTGGAACACCCATTTCCAGACATGTAGCCTAGTAGCTTTTTTGGTTTAATAACTAAAAATAGTTTTTAATGCTTGTATACTTTTTATACACATAAGTTATAATTTATAATAATAATAATTATGACAACATTAAAGTAATTTGTATCTTACATTGGCAAGCAATTGTTTAGAGGATCAACCTCCTAAACCAATAAAGCTATACCTAATAGTATTATGCATTAGACAAGTGATCAAATAAAGAACATATTAGGTAATTTATATTTTAAACAACTCGAAATAATTTATTGTTGAAAATATTTTTTTTCAAACATATTATAATTAAAAAAATAACTTTTTAAATAATATTTGTAATACCTAAATTATCAACAGGTAACTTGACTATGTTTACATATTATAAAACAGTTTTATAAAAAAATTATACTTAAAAACTATTTAATAAATTATTTTATGAGACTCATCTCACTATTATCACTAGGTATTTAAAACTTGATAATTTATTCAAAATAATTGAGTAGAAATATCATTGATTATAAATACTATAGATTGCTCACTGGACGGTTTTTCGGTTTCGTGAGCAATTTATAGTATTTATAATCAATGGAACTATGTTTAAAGAACTCCATTTTATGGAATTTTTTGAATTGCCCATTATAATATAGGTACTAGTGTATTTGGCAGTTACGGTATTGATTTGAGTTTAATTATATTAAAACAAAATTTTAGTGATTTTTTTAATGCATTTTATGTATTAATGAGGTTAAACTATCTATTTTAATGATTCTATTATTTTTGTTTAACAAGTAACTATTATTGAACTATGTAATGATTATTTATCGCAGCAATAATACATTTTTGAACTAAGGTAAATGAAAATGGGGTTACCTGATTGATTCCTCATCATATATAATTTTTAATTTCGTGGTTTCATTGACAGATCGTAGTATTAAGGTAGATCTAAACTGTTTTATTAGATCACCAATCTCATTTTCAGCGATGTTTGCCACGTGTGAATGCCCTATTTGGGCTTTGATTGTGCCATCAGATAAACGTTTTGCTGTACCTTTTCAAAACTGATTACTGCATACCAAATAACTAACAATATAAACAAATAATAAACAATTATTAACAAATTACATTTTAAAATTCATAATATAAAAAAAGGTTAGTTGGAATTATAAATTTATGTTTGTTTCTGTACATTGAAGTAAGTTAAATTCAGTGTAATCCACATATATAGTTGTTTTTAATTTGCAGCAAGACTTAAAATCTGGTGACTATGTCTAGTAAAATGTAAGCCTGTAGGTAAAAAAAAAATGCTGTACATAATATTCTGATCGAGATCATATTGAATTTGTATTAGTTTTCATAATAATTTTGTTAAAAAATTGGTCATTTTATTTATATATTTGTTCAGATATTTAATATTGGATTAAAATTTTTTTATAAGTTATCAAAATGTTAAGTATAGGTAGATACTCATAAATAACTAGTTTGTTTTTATTTTCATAATTTGTTTTTGGAAAATAAAAGTTCCTGTTATATATGTATTAATAATTAATTTTTTAATAAAATAACAATTAATATTTTTACAGTGGCCATATAAGGGAAAAATGCAATTTTAAAATATTAATAAAAATGTCTCATACAATGTTCTTAAGACTTTGAAATTTAAGCCAATTATTATAGTGAACTTCTGAATTTATGGTTCAATTTTCAATATTTTTCAATGACCGTAGATAGAATAAATTAAATTAAAAAAAATTCTTAAGGGGTCGATTCCACCCTATGTTGTGTAATATATTATACAGTATTAAATAGCAGGCGCCTACCTATATCATTTTAAATGCACCTACTAAAAAGTATTTTAAGGTTCAGTTTTTTGCATAATAAAAACACAAAATATTCAAATTTGAATTTAATTATATTAACAAAATATGCGTTTCTTAAATCAAAATATGCATGCAAACCTATGTTAAAAAAATCATAATATGGTGCCTATTGTACCTACCTAGTATAATCTATTTATTATATAATTATTGACTGGTGGATTTAAAAATTGTAAATATGTTGTACAGATTAATGTATCGTAAGTGACTTAAAAAATAGTTCTTAAGCACCTAGATACATGTATTGATTTCTTTATTAAGAAAATTCAATAGTCAAAACTGAAATTGTTTTTATATTACATTTCAAATAATATCTAATAAGTAATAAGTAATAGGTAATCTAGTAAGTAGGTAGTAATATTAGTAAAATAAACTTACCGAACACCATTTTTAACACCGCCATTGTACTTATAACGAAAATCATCATGCTCTATTGGATTCATTGTGAAAATGAGTATTAAGACTTTAATTGATTGATGAATGTTATTTTAAATGCCACTTCAATAACTTACAAGTAAATACAAATAGGTATACAACTTATGAGTCTTACTAAGTTATAAAAAAGTTAAGAACAAGTTATAAACGAGTCAAGTACAAAATTGAAAATACTACACGACGTGTCTTCTGTCTTGCACTCTTGACGTTTATGATAATCGTGAATTTGTGTGTCATACTATTATTATTTATTCTTAACCTTAGTTTAATACCCCCCTTGTACTATTATTATAATATATCAGAGTTGAGATGTTTAAAACATTTTGTTTTAAACACTTGTTTAAAACATGTTTTAAACATCTAAATTGATCAAACATGGTTTTGTTTAAAACGTTTAAAACAAATGATTTAAACAACATAAAAAAAACAGCTAGTTTAAAACAGAAAATCATAATTTATGCGCATATAACTTATTATTTGTAAGTTCGTACTGGCAACTCCTATTTATTATTATTTTTTAATTCATAAACAAATTTAAAATTTATAAAATGTATAATGATAATTTTACTTATTTAAATTACTAACACTTTAATGGTCATATAATATATTATTTCTGTAGTTCTGTAGGTAATATATTTATTAATTATTTATTTATTAGAAACTTCACTATAATATTTCCAAATGTCATCACGTCTTCGTCCCGTGAACATGTGTTTTATTTTTTAAGTTTTATTTTGTTTCACACTGTCGCTAATGTAATATTGTAGTAATGTCAGATGCAGAAGAATAACTCAATAACATCAAAATTAAATTTCATTGATATCGTATCATATTATTATTTAATATTTTTTACCTTTATCATATTTTATAATCGGAAATATTGTGGCGCAAACCCACCAAAATTTAAAATAGTAAATAGTAAATCATGGCTTAAGATAAACAGGTTACGAAACCACCTATTAAAACTATACAACAGAAATGATGCTCAAAGATTCTCGAATATAAACAGCTGATGGTTTGTGTGAGAATAGTAGCTAGCGTTCTTGCGGCCAAAAACAATTTTATTTATTATCAATGTTATCTTTAAACATTTACCCGCGAATTTTTATTGATGGATATTTGGCATGACATATTATATATATTATATGTCATATTTGGGATTTGGAATAAAGATTACAATACAATACAATCCTCAATAGTTTTCTTTTGTAATATTGCACCAATTTCCATTTTTCATCGTTTTACTTTTTGCCTTTTTAGTAGTTTATTTTGTACTATATTTTCCTTTATTCCAATATGGTTTCCAACAAGTGTTGTGTTCCTGGGTGTAGTAAAAGTGCTGCATCTAAATTTGGTGTTCCTAAAAATATGATGAATGTCTGGGAAAATATTATTGGGTGTCCTTTAAACAGGAATTCAAGAGTTTGTGCAAACCATTTTAAACCTAGTGATATTACATCAACATGGGAGTCTGGTAATGGTAGTAGCCAAATCTCGGTATGTTCTATTGAAATATATACATTATACATATAAGTAAAAATGAATAGATAATAGGTAAATTTTTTTAGATTTGTTTAAGAAAGCCACGGTTAAAATCTGGAGTTATACCAATTAATAATTTAAGTGATGAAGTAAATGACATAAACCAGGTTAGTTTAGGAAATAGTATAGATATATAAATATATTAATAGTTCAAATATTTTATTTTTACTAATTTAAAAATATTATTAGGTGAATGAAACAATGACAATGCTTAACGAACATAATTATTCTAAAGTTAATCTAAATGATGAGTTTGAACCACCACTTGCCAAACGAGCATGTATTGAGGTTTGAATAAATTATAATTTTAATAACATTGACAAAAGTAAATTAAAAATAAATTTATTTTAAATGCCCAGTTATCTGACAGTGTAATTGAATCAATATCTGAGGTAGTAATTCAAGATAATATATTGATAAATGATGAAAGTTCAATTTCACTACCCATGAATTGGTTTTGTGATGTTACTACTAATAATGGATCTGTTATAGCAAAAACTTATTTTATTCTCAGTCCATTTCAAATATACAATAAAAGAGTTGTGGAAAAACGATTAGTTATATTAAAAGGTATTAAAATAAGTAAACAATAGTTACATCTACATCTAAATGTTTGTCATAATGACTAGTATCGTGGATAATAATTTATCAGTTAAAAAAAAAATATGTGTACTTCGAATACTAACTTAACTTTACCATAAAAATATATTTATAGATTCTGAGCCAACATTTTACATTAATGAGAAACAAATTAAGTTATCACAGGTTGGAATAAATAATTATGATGAAACATTGAATATTGAATACATGCTAAATATACTTGTAAAAGTTAATGTTTGTCGAGGTGTAAAAACTGACAAAAATGTAAAAACTTCTTTTGGTTCTCAATTTATAGAATTTAATGGTCACTGGAAACATGCGAATTGTTTAAATATTATAGATGATGGAGCCAGGTATTAAATTCTGAAATATTTTAAATTTTCCTTAATAAATTAATTTTGAAATAATAACATTTCTAATTTCATTCTGTTTTGAATAGTCAATTATGTGTATGGTGTAATAGATTAAAATACACCATAAATAAAAAATTCAAAATATTGTCAGCTGGAAAGTCTTTAAGAGTACCTTTAACACCGAGCAAAAAAAGCAAATTCAAAAAAATTCTTAAATCCAAAAAAATTGCAAGCCAAAAGTTTTCGAGAGCGCATAAAACAATTAAAAATTTGAAATTGCAGTTGAATAATATCAAAACTAAAATATCCCAAGTCTCATCAACCACATTAAATGAAATAATTCAGAAATCTAATTTATCTGACTGTCAATCTAATTTAGTCAATGAAATTTTTAATGCTGCTAAAGTTAAATGTAAGAATCAGAGAAGGTATAGCGATAACTGGATTCTATTATGCTTAATTTTACAGATTAGGTAAGTTATTACAAAATATAATAATATGAATAAATATGAATCATACAAATTAATAATTTTCAGAAGCCCAAGTGGATATAGATTTCTGAGAAACCAAAACATACTTCCACTTCCCTGTGTAAAAACTGTTAGAAAGTATCTTTTGGCAATTAATAATGAATGTGGATTTGACCTTAATTTCTTTAAACTTCTGAAAAAAAAAATGTTGAGTAAAAGTGACTATCAAAAAAAAGGCATTTTACTATTAGATGAGGTATATTTGAGATCAAGTATATCAGTAAACAGCCGTACTTTAAGTTATTCAGGATTGGAAGATTTTGGAGGAGAACTTCCAAGTAGAGACACTGAAAAAGCAGATCATGGTTTGGTATTTATGTGGTCTAGTCTTGCAGATAGTTTTACACAACCTATTGCAGTTTTTGCCTCCAAAGGTCCTGTAAAAGGTATATAAATTATAATTGATAAGAAAAATTCAATTTTAATATACTAATATTTAAACAATTTTAAGGAATGGATTTGACCAAATTAGTAGTGAAAGCAATAATGTTATTAGAGAACGCAGGAGCACAGGTTTTGGGACTAACTACTGATGGGGCCAGTACAAATAGGACCATGTGGAATAACTTAGGCATTTCAGGAAAGATAGGGAATACAAATAATAGTTTTTGTAATCCATTTGATGAAACTAGAAAAGTTTTTGTTTTTAGTGACGCACCTCATCTCATTAAGACGATACGTAATCGCTTATACGAAAAAAAATGTTTAAAGGTAATATAAATACATAAAAAGGTTTTTTATATACTTACATTATGTGTTATAAATTTAGTTGGATCCTTCCAAACCATTAGTAAAATGGGAACATTTTTCTGAAGTGTACAGGCTTGATGAGAATAAACTAGGGAAAGTATGTCCAAAAATTACTAGGAATCACATATATTTAACTAATTTGTCAAAAATGAAAGTTAAGTTTGCAACTCAGGTAAATATGATATCTAATTTAAAAATGTTTTAAATAATAATGCTATTAAAAATTATCAACTAATTTTAATACTTATGTTAGCTTTTCAGTAACTCAATGGCTGTAGGTATACAATTTTATAGAAATAGAAATGAAAAAAATCTTATACATTCTGAAGAAACAGAACAATTTACCTTGTTTATAAATAATTTATTTGATGCGTTCAATCGTAAATTTCCTGCAGAAGGAATCAGAAAAAATTCTTATGATTTTGAGGTTTTTCTTTATGTTTAACAAATATTTATGTTTGTGGGAATATTTTTACTTAATATTTTATTAATTAATTCATGCCCATTTTTCAAATAATGTACTTAGATTCTTGAAAATGCAATGAAATGGTTAGATTCTTGGGAGTCAAAAGTTATAGATGGACTCATATCTTCAAATGAATTTTTAACTCAGCAAACAGCTGATGGATTGAGAGTAACAATTAAATCTAGCATTGAACTTTCAAAATATCTGTTGGACAGTTGTAATTTTTCATTTGTATTAACTGCTAAAATGAATCAGGATAAACTAGAAGTATGAAATATTTAATTTTAAAGATTGACCATCTTACACTTACTAACATATATTATTTAAAGAAATTTTTTGGTATAATACGTCAAGTTTCTGGTCCTAACGACCACCCGTCTACACCAACATTCTTACAATTATACAGAATGTTGACTGTATCTTCTCTAATAAAACCACCTAAAAGTGGTAACTGTACAGTTGATGAAGGTAAATAATTTAAATGGGTATATATGATCTATAATAAGTACTTTATATATTTACTTACATACTTTCAGTCCAAAAACCGGTACTTGATATTTGCGACTTTAAAAATCTTATTTCAAATGAATCATTGCGTGAAGAAAAAATTAAAAACATGAAGAGTAAATTAGACTTGATAATTGAAGATAAGAACTGGGACTGTGAAGACATATTTTTAGAGCACGATTATACAAAAAGTTCAGTTTTTGAATGCGTGGTTTACTATTTAGGAGGGTAAAGATGATAAATCAATATTATTTCTTACATAAATGTCTAATAAGTTTTTAATCAAATCTGCAGGTATTTAGCTAGACGACTGTGCAAAAAGTCCAAGTGTGAAGTATGTATAAAAAATTTAAAGAATGATGGTAACTTAGGTATGGAATCAGAGTTGGTAAATTTAAAAAGTAAAGGATTTTTAACTCATCCTAGTGGTAACTTATATAAAATATTAAAAGTATTGGAAACTTGCTTTTGTAAACATGCAAGTGCTGGTGATGTCTTTGAAAATACTTATAATGAATTTTTTCTTCATGTGACAAGCTTGACATTTTCATGTTCTATTCATAAATATGAAATGATTACAGATATCTTCACCATATATATAACAATGCGTATGAGGCAATTTACATACATTGAAAATCAAAAATTAAATAAAATTAATAGAGCCAAAAAGAAACTTTCAAAACTTGTATCCAGTTAGGTTATTAAATGTTTTATATTATCATTTATCCGTGTTATATTTATGTATTATAATTGTTTATTTATGTAAAAAATCAAAAAAATCTCATAAAAATCTTAAAATATTGTGTTGTTTACCGTGTAAGTTAAAACTAAAATACATGACAAAATTCAAAAAGTATCGTGGAAAAATATAAATAAAGCTAAATAGTACCGCATGGAGCGCTAGGTATCATTCTCGCTAGTATCCGAAGATTGACAGACTAGAGCCTCAATAATCACAGCTGCGTTTCGTAACCTGTTTATCTTAAGCCATGATAGTAAATACAGTAATCAGTATTCTTTATCACGATGTAGATAACAGATCAGTTCTTTATCATCAATCATTATCAAAATATTCAAAAACGATTTTTAAGTGTAAAACCGATAGCCGTGGTTAAATTACACGTCAAGTTATAAAAAAATTATGATATTAAATTATTAAATAAATGATTTTTTTTTTAAATAAATTACATATTTTGTTTTAAACTCGATTAAATCATGTTTTAAACATGTTTAAAACAGCTGAAAAAATCATTTTAAAAAAACATGTTTTAAACGATTAAAACAATTTTTTTGATTTTTTAAAAAAATCATGTTTTTAATCAACTCTGTAATATATTGTTCATGCATGTCTATTCATGTCTATTCATGTTCATCATAATAACAAAAATAAACAAAATATTGGAAATCATACTTTAAAAATAGATATGAATTACTTCGCGAAACACGGATATAGATACTATGGTTAATAATAATCTGATACAGATTACAGATAGATGATAGTAATATAGTATGATACATCAGTGGCGTGCTTAGGAATTTTGGATGGGGGGGGGGGGGGGGGGTAGTTCAATTTAGTGTTCTAAATCTAGTATAGCACCCACAATTTTTAAATTTGTTTGTCCGACATCTATGCATTAAACCAGTTAAGAACGACGGTGCTTACATTAATTGCCAGAAATAATTAGTTTTTATGGTGTAGTCTTATGGTGTAGCCTCCGTAAACGAAGTTCACGATTATCGGTGTTTTGCGCACATACGTACCTACAACGCTTAGATATAACGAAATTTAATTTTTTTTTTTTGAAACCTAGCTAAATAATGGTTTTAAAAATTTTTTTGGCAAAAATAATTTTGACACACCCATAGTGGTTTTATATAACAAGTTGAGGGATCATGGGCGTCCCCAGACATTTTTCTAGAGGGGGGGGGGGCAAAATTAATTTAAAAAATAAATGAAAATTTTTCTATACATTTTATTTATAGTAAATGCCACTAAATTATTATATTTCGTCATTATTAAAATTATGAATTAAAACATTACAATTAGGTAAGTATTATTATTACAATTAAAACATTAAAAAATATTATTATACATCATTCTTTTTCATTAAATATAAATTTCAATCTCCGTGGACATTCTCTACCAAATTGTGTCAGTGCATTTTCAATAAATTTTTCTTTATTTGAATTTACTTTTTCTCTATGAAGTATGAACACTCAACATGCATATTCCATTCAGTCTAACATCACCCATCGTTGATCGTAACCATGTTTTAACACGCCTTAATGTATTAAAAGAACGTTCTCCTGTACAGCTTGTAGCCGGAAGAGACAAAAATATTTCCAAAGCAACAGCTATATTAGGAAAAAACGTACAGTTACAGTTTAACAAATCGATAAAATCAATATCTTGGCAGTCCTTATTTTGCCAAAAACTGTACCAACTTCCCGCTTCAGCTTGGAGATTATCAATTTTATAGAAATCAGCAATTTTTTCAATGCTTTCAAAATACATTTTTTTCTCCAATTTTTTAAAAATGTTGGGGTGAAGATATTGTAGTAAAAATGTATTATCATTTTTTATATCAAAACGTTCTTTTATATATTGTGAAATTGAATCAATATATGGTATAAAAATTGAAACTCGGTAATAATCTTCACAACTCTCAGTTTCATAGTTCGCTCTTAGTGACTGTTTCTTTACCGTTCTTGAACGTGTAATGACAATATCTAAATCAATGGCGATTGATTTCGCTTCGTTAAATAATGTTTGGAAAATGTTATCAGCGTCATATCGAACAATATTAGTAATAAATTAATAATGCTCGCTGACTTTATTTATCTGACTTTATTAGATCTACTGAGGTCTGAGACGCCTTGTAAGTTGTAACATATTTGTCACAGGTTCTAAAATAGCACTGTATTTTGCCATAATAATCATAGAAATTAATAATGATGAATTTGAGGCCGCAGAATATAAGTAATGAGCTCGTTGCCTTGTATTGGAATTTGAATGTACTTCATTATTTGATAATGATTTCAAACTTGTCATTATTGAAATAAAATGTTTTGAAAATACTCTTATACTCTTATATTTAGACGACCAGCGTGTTTCACAAAATAGTGGTAGGTATGTTAGGGATAAGTTTTCTTCTAAGCGTACTATCACGGAAAAATCATATAATATTTTTTATAGTTCCAGTAGTATTACGAATAATCATTATTTTATTTGAATCATTTATAACTAAATTTAACCTGTGATTAGAACAATGAAAAAATAACGCTTGACATAATATGTTATGGAAACTTAGTAGACCTATTTTTAGAAACTAATTTATCATTTGGAATTTTACCAATTTCTGTGGAAATAACATTATTCCAGGGGGGACCAGTGCCCCGTCTTGTCCCCCCCTGGGGACGCCCATGCGCGGGATGTTTAGAAGTTAATTGTCCGAGCGATCGCAAAGAGCGAGGGACCACACCAGATGTATATGAAAATACCAAAAATTTCAATTACCTAGCTATAACTTTAAACTAAGTCTGTCCGCCAAATTTAGACTTCCCTATCGTTTTCAGCATGCTTAACTACATAGGAACGTACTAAAACAAAATAAAATTGAAAAAGGTGCTCTGCTGTACAGTAGGTTACAAGTGGGTCACTGTATAATGGATGCTATTAAATTTGAATTCAATGATAAAATATCATTGTATAAGAAAAACGATTCTGAGCGGAGACGATATATCAGTCTAGGTATAAGACATATTATATTATATTTATCTATGGTATTAAAAAAATTGATCTATAATAAATTCCAAATTAATCATATCACAATATCCATTAGGTACTTATAACGCGTTATACATCAACAACAAACCCTGATACTATCATAGATATACAATAGGGTAGGTACTTTAGAAATTTCAAATACCAAGTTTTAAATACCTAATATTATACAATCACAACAAAATAACTAAAATAGTTATTCTAGTTAATTTCGTCCAAATTTGAACTTAAAATGACTATAAAAATAAACTGTGCTTATATATGGTTTAGATTTTTTGGTAACTGAATACACTACTTACGTGGAATCTTTTTTTAAATTTTCAATCCTTAGATATAAAAAGGTGGGTAAGTGGATGTCGTTCTGCTGTACAGTAGGTTACAAGTGGGTCACTGTATAATGGATGCTATTAAATTTGAATTCAATGATACAATATCATTGTATAAGAAAAACGATTCTGAGCGAAGACGGTATGTCAGTCTAGGTTTAAGACAAATTATATACATATCTATGGTATTAAAAAAAAAATTGACCTATAATAAATTCCAAATTAATCATATCACATTATCATAATATCCATTAGGTACTTATAACACGTTATACATCAACATCAATAACAAACCCTAATACTATCATAGATATATAATATAGTACACTTTAGAAGTTTCAAGTAGGTACCCACGAGGCACGAATAATATTATATAATCACAATAAAATAACTAGGTTTTTTAATATGTAATTTCGTCCTTATTTGAACATAAAATGACTATAAAAATAAACTGTGATTGTATATTTTTTAGATCTTTCGGTAAGAGAATTAACTACTTACGTGGAATCTTGTTTTAAATTTTCAATCCTTAGCTATAAAAACTGAACATTTTATAATTTATTAATTACGATGGTTAATAATTTTCGAGATTTTGAAAAATTCTGTCAAAATTCGATGTTTAAATGCTTATAAAAAAAAATTGTGTCCATGTATTTTTTATATTATTCAACTGATATTGTAACAATATACCAGGAGCCTTGTATTAAATTTTTACACTTTTTGGCCCAACAGATAAAACTTTATTGATATTCAAAAAAAAAAAACTAAAAAAATTGAAAAATGAAAATATCCGTTAACAGCTCAAAAAGAGTCAAAATATTTTCAAAATTGTATGGTGTATAGGAAATTCTAATATAAACATTCAGTGAAATGTTCATGTATCTACAGTTATTCGTTTTTGAATTACAACAAAATAAGGAAATCGCTACATGAGAAATCGAGTGAATATCTAATGTTGTAAAAATTTGAATTTAAAACGGTCATAAAAATGTAATTTGACTTTCTTATAGACATTTGTTTTTTGATAAAGGTAGATAATATTATAAGGAATCTTGTATTACATTTTAAAACCTTAGATTTAAAAAGAAAAATTTTTACGAATTCTTAACTCAAAATAATTTGCTAGTTTTCTTGATTTTTCCATATTTTGTTAATTTTTGAACTTTAAATGCTTATAAAAAAAAAACTGTGACTAAGGATTTTTAATATTTTTCATCTGCCTTTGAAACAATATACTAGGAGACTTAAAATCAATACATTCATCGTTTCACTCAGAATCTAAAATTCGAGTGGACACTGAACTAGATTTTTTCCCAATAAATTATTATAATTATTATTAAGTACATAATATATTATTATATTTATAAAGTGTCCAAGGGAGGCGTTGAACCCCCCTTGTGATACATAATATTACATAATGATAAATACATCTAATCACGTAGTATAAAATACAAATGTATCAAGAAATTGCCTATACAGTACTCCTACTTCACTGATATTTCCCGGTTTTGAAATTCCTGTGTATTATTTTCCGGTATAAATATTTTCCTGATTTTTAAATTCCTATAAATTATTTTCCCGTTTTTT